TCACTTTTTTCCCTCAAACCTTTGATTTACACTTCTATAGCAACCTTATCTTTTGAACTCTAACTTAGGTGAAAGACCAGATGCCATATATTATTTATCTTCAGATTCCCAAGATAGAGAACAGTGCCTGGCACCTACTAGAAATTCACTGTATTTTTTGAGTGGGTGAATTAAAAAAAATGATTAGGAGTTGATGCAAGCATGGACTCTCTAAAAATCATGTCAAGTATCCTGATTTCCCTTTTTTCACAGCAATATGAGAATGAGAAAATCAATAATATGTTTCAAATAGTTTCAGAATATCACTGTTTGATTAATTAGTTCTGAAAAAAAAAATCAAGATGTAGACTTTTCCAGACTTTACCTAGCATTATATTTAGGTGAAGAAAGCGTGATATCAAACGAACTAATTTTAACATGCTTTCAAGTGTTATGGAGCAAGAGTCTGGCTAAGATATAATATAGGTACACAGTCCAGCAGATCAGTCATAACTCCGTATCTTTAGAATTCTGTTCAATTGATCCAGTTTAACCTGTTAGAAGATCTCTGTTCTCAAAGATGACTTATACAGGCTTACCCTGACTGTGGTGAAACTACAGATGAGTGCTTCATGATACTGTACTTGTGCCTTAAATCAATCCTGAAAAAAGAGCTACAATACTGAATTTGACAGGGTTTCAGAAGGTTAAAAAATGAGTCAGAAGTGACAAGATGAGATTTAGTAGGGGTAAGTATAGAGTCCTGAACTGAGGTTAAAAAATCAATTGCCCAGTATCAGAGATCTCCCTTATCAGCGGTTTGTGTAAAAAATTGGTAGGACAAGCTCCTAAATGGAAAACAATGGTTAATATAAAATGAAGTGTAATGTTTAGAATAAGTAAGGCCATTTTCTCATTTTGCTAAGCCTTGGTCCATGATGTCTACATTTACATATAATAACTAAAAAGGCATCAAGATACTGACTTCTACCCAAAAGAAAAGTGACCAATATGAATTGTAGTTTGACCATAATAATACTCACCTAATACTTATTGAGTACTTGCCAAGTGCTGGGTATATGAATGAATTAACAACTCAGTTGGTTGTCACAATATTGTTATCAGGTAAATCTTGGAATGACTTCACAGAAACTCTACGAGGGCTGAGGCTCTCATTCCCCAGGGTGTGCACATATTCCCTGATGACAGCTTACAGCCAAGTCCCTCCCACAAAATGCCCCAGGAGAAGGTGACTTTATCGGAAAGATGCATCAATTCATGAAGCAAAAGTGGGATTATTTTATTTGGGATTAAGTTTTAATATAAAAAGTTTAACAGTCAAAACTTAAATATCACAATGATGAAATGAATTAAGAAATTAAGTGACTTTTATTTAGCCTTATGTGCTGTGCAACTTTAATTTGATCCACGATATGTAGTTCAATCCAAACAGAGAATGTTTCCTACTAGAAAGCAGGATCATCACCTAGGAGGTACATTTTAAAAACCAACTTATGGTGAATTCTTAAAATATATGTGTATCTCTCTCGCTAATATTTCTAGTTAACATTTTGATTAAAAGTTAAGACAACAAAATTATCAAGCACATATGTGAAATAATTTATATTTCTATAACAGCATGGAAAGATTACTTCTTTCCCAATTTTCTAAAGACAGAGGAGATAGGTAAAAGAAGACTACATCAACTCTTGCTCTTGAATAGGAAGTCAGGGTTTAATGGAAAGGCCTTGCTTTGTGTTAACTGACTTAAACCAAACACATATACTTATTTTATTTCCACTTAAAAATCGTTTTATTTTTATTTTATTTTTATAGATTTAGGGGGCTTTGTTACAAGCACATATTATGAACTGGTAAAGTTTGTATTTTTAGGGCCTCCATCTCCAGAATATTGAACATTGTAACCCAACAAGTAACGTTTCAACCTTCGTTTCTCTCTAAGCCTCCCACCTTTTGGAGTCTCCAGTGTCTATTTTTCCACGTGTGTACACATTGTTTAGCTCTCACTTACAAGTGAGAACATGGCTAGTTGAATTTCTCTTTTTGAGTTATTTCCCTTGAGTGAATGGCCTCCAACAGCCTCCTTGGGTTGCTGTTTCTGTCTTGGCATGTGTGCGCTCTTTTTACCCTGCCTGGATCCCAACACTCAACATTGGACCCGTGTAACACTCCCAACACTCCCTCCACTCCATTCACTCTGCTCAGGCTTCAACACCCCCGTGCCGGGCTTCTGCACTAGACCTTACTCCCACACAGGTGCCTACCTTGTTCCGATGTAGGGCTTAATCATTAAAAAGGCAAAAGGTAAGGAAAGAAGAAAGAAGGGAGGACAAATGGGAGGAAGAAAGGAAAAAAAGATTTTTGAATGCTGAAAAAGTAAATTTTTCCTATAATACTACTAAATGTGTACAAAATTTTCACGCTAACTTTTGGCTTTTAATTTATTCCCTTTGGAAGTAAGGTACTGTGTTACACTGTAAAATACCATATGCCAAAGGGCCAATGAAATATTGAAATGTGATATCTGCATATATTTGAAAATATTAATGTATTTTATATAATATTTCTCTTATATCTTATTTAAAATCCCAGTACACTTTCAGTGTTTGGATTCTGCAGGACAGAGTAAATTTTCTACAAAATATTAGTACTAAATAAGAGTTCTATGAAATAAATCATATTTATAAATGGTGATGTTTAAATGTATTTTTCCCATCTAAGGCTGAGTGTCTAAATATTTTTGCATCTTCATTACAATCTAAATTGAATCCAGTTTTTTCTAAAACAAATTCTTAGCCTGAAATTGTATAAAATTTGGAATACTAGGAGAATTTCAGTAAAGTATTAAAAAGCTTTCCAATATTCTCTAACTCAGCTTAAATGAAAAAAAATTTAATTTCTGTTAAGGTTGGACAGAATAAAACTCACCAATTTAATATATTCTTTAGAAGGAGAGGAATTAAATATACTTGTCAATGAACAATATTGTAGAAAGTATTGTGAAGATGAAGGTACATGCACATTAAATATTACCTGTGAATTTCATGGAATTATTTAAACCTAATCAACAAATATTTTAAATAGTGAATATTAATATACCCCCCTAAAAATTGTGATAGAAAAACACATCATTTATAAAAAGGCAATATATAATATTAAATATTAATATTTATATATGTATATTGGTCAGATATCTAATTATTTATAAATATATATATTAAAGAAAGGTTCCATAATTTCCTAAGGGTTAGAATTAATTGGAGTAGTGGATGCTTCTTATTACTACAGTTGATTCTTCAATTTATTATCAATGCATTTTGGTGAGACTTAGCATACCTCTTTTCTTATAATATAATTTGCTTGTAAAACGATGTTTTCATATTTCTAAACTCACTCTTATCTTGATTTTTTTTCTCTCCCTGCCTTATTTTGTCAATTCCTTCAATGTAATCTCTTTTCTTCCTTCTCTGTCAATTCAATAAAACTTGAATTGGAGAATAATAGGTTCCCTAAGTTACACAATAATTTGACATTATTAGGTTAAAAATTTCCCTTTGTGACCTTTATGATTAATGGCATTAATATTTAAAATATATCTATATAGCAGAAAAAAGGAACATCTTTCTGAACTTAATATAAAATTAAAGTTACAGATAAATTTTCTACCTGAAAAGGTTTTAAAATTTATTCATGGAAGCTTTTTAGTCTGTTAAAATATAATATTACAATAATTTTGTGATATTACTTTACCAAGTCTTAGAAGACTGTAAATCACATTTTTCCATGTGAGCTATATAAACTTTTATTTTAAATGTATTTTAGGATTCCTAATCAGTCTTATAAAAGATAATGGCAAATTTTATAAATAAGAAAATAAATAATATCTGGATTTCTGGTTTGTACGAATTTTTTTACTCTAGATGTTACTATTTCCATATCTTTAGACTATAGAGGTATACAATATAAAATATTTTCAAATATTCTAGTTATATACATATACAATATAAAATATTTTCAACAAATGTATGTAGCATTCTATTTTCCTTCAGAAGTAAGACAGCTATTTGTACTTTCAAGTCTAAACATTTAAAATAAATTAATTGTAATTCATTTTCTCTGAGGGTGTTTTGATTTTTAAATTTTTTGACAGGATTCTGTCTTTACTTGAAATACAATTTGATTTTTTTTGAAATTTAAATAGTTTATTTCTATATTTTCTGCTGTGTGCACGTGTGTGTGCACACACACGTGCACACTTGTCCTTGGTTAAAACATACATTCCGAATTTCTTTCACAAATATCTAACTTTTAACATTGCAGGGATTAGAATCAGCATTTAAAGTCAATCCTGATGAGTAAATACATTCTAAGTGCTCTCTATACAGCAGATACAATGGTTTCAAGATTTAAATGTGGTTCTTTTAACAAAATCTGTATTGTTACTTATAAAATGTAAAATATATTCTCTTCTAACATTAAAATAACATAACACCCACTTTTTAGAAGTTCATATTTTTGTTATAGACATGCTGAAATTCAAGGTTTTGGAAATAATTTTACAAATGCAAAATTGTTGTACATATTTATGGGGACAAGTGACCATCTGATATAAGCTTACAATAGGTAATGATCAAATCTGAGTAACTGGCATGTCTGTTGACATCTTTTTCATTTCTTTGCATTGGAAACATTCCAAATCTATTCTTCTATTTTGAAATACACAATAACGTATTGTTAACTGTTATAGCCCTAATGTACTACTGAACAGTACGTTTTATTCTTTGTAATCCACTGTAGCTTTGTGCTCCTTGAGTAACCTGTCTTTATACCCTCTTTCCCAATAAACTTCCAAGCGTCTGGTAACCAAGATCTACCTAATACCTCCAAGAGATCCATTGTTTTAGCTTCCAAATATAAGTGAGACTACATTATCAACTTAAATTTTCATTTTCTTTCAAAAACATTGTGTGAGAACTCAAAAATTGTTGTGCTAAACTTACCAGCCAAAGCTAGAATATATTCTTGAAATCTTGTTCCTATACGATTAGTGGCTGTGCAATTATAGCGTCCAAAGTCATTGTCAGATGTAGGTGCAATCTGAAAAAATTATAATAACAAATTACAATTCTAAAACATCACAGAAGTTTCAATATAAACCTTAGTATGCCTACTACTTTCACACATGTTTAATTTCTTACCCCACAACTCCTTACCATATATTTTAAATTTTCTTTATTAAGTAAGCATTACTAAATAATATAAATCCTTTTATGATGTATCCATGAACCTATAATACCCACAGGGCTAGGAAAATCAGAATTTATCTGTTAATTCATTACATAAACAAATGGCACCACTTTGATGTATCTATTACATAGCAAAACCATTAGATCTACATATATGTAAAGCTCAGATAGTACACAGCTTGAAATACACATACACACACACAGACACACACACATATAGTTTGCAATCAATGAAAGTCTAAACTTGAAAACAGGAAGCCTGTAATAAAAGCATTGTTAACCATTTTCTGTGTTTTGGCCTCAGACCCGTTTAATTTAAAGTTCAAGAAAAACTTCAAATATTATATATATATATATATATATATATATATATATATATATATATTTATCCTTTTTTGAGTTTATTGAACATATAATACAAACTTATCTCAAAATAATAAGTGCCATTTATGACAAACCCACAGCGAACGAATATCAAACTGAATGGGCAAAAGCTGGAAGCATTCCCTTTGAAAACCGGCACAAGTCAAGGATGCCCTCTCTCACCACTCCTATTCAACATAGTATTGGAAGTTCTGGCCAGGGCAATCAGGCAAGAAAAATAAATAAAGGGTATTCAAGTAGGAAGAGAAGAAGCCAAATTGTATCTGTTTGCAAATGACATGATTGTATATTTAGAAAACTCCATTGTCTCAGCCCAAAATCTCCTGAAGCTCATAAGCAACATCAGCAAAGTCACAGTAGATACAAAATCAACGTGCAAAAATCACAAGCATTCCTGTATAACAATAATAGACAAACAGAGCCAAATCATGAGTGGACTCCCACTCACAATTGCTACAAAGAGAATAAAATACTTAGGAATACAACTTACAAGAGATATGAAGGACCTCTTCAAGGAGAGCATAAACTACTGATCACCGCAATAAGAGAGGACACAAACAAATGGAAAAGCATTCCATGCTTACAGACAGAAAGAATCAATATAATGAAAATGGCCATACTGCCCAAAGTAATTTATAAATTACTTGATAGCATCAAGCTATCATTGACTTTCTTCACAGAGTTAGAAAAAAACTACTTGAAATTTCATATGGAACCAAAAAAGAGCCCATATAGCCAAGACAACCCCAAGCAAACAGAGCATTTGTAATGAGATCTTTCCAGGAGCATATTGTGCAAGAAACTGTTGTTCTTGGGCAACAATCCTCACAGACAGGCACTTTTCTTGCTATCTAATAACAGTATCTTGCCTCCATTTCTATTCAGTTCCTATCATTCTTTTTCATTCTAGGTAGAAAATAGCTGACCTCTATCCTTACACATTTAAAATCCATAATTAAGTTAACCTTCGGGGATTCTATTGGTGAACACTGAGACAAACCCTGTAATTCTAATGTACAGAAATTCTGAAGTATCAATTTAGATAAGAGATTTGATGGTAGTAATAGGTATAATTTTCAATCTCAGTAACTATTAGTAAGAGAGAATATGCTTACAAGAGTTTCTGTTAATTTCAACTCTATCCCAAAAGAGGGAAAAATGATTTTGTGGTAATGGGAGGCTATTAACTAAGAGTGCAATTTTGAGGTCCATTGAAGATGATAATTCTGAAAGAGTACGGAAAAGCTGTGTCATTCATTTTCTAGTCATCTGTCCATCTAGAGACAGATCACAGGATTAAAACTTAGAATTTTTAACAGCTCTTATATAATTACTGCAAAGTGATTCAAATATTCATTTTTCTCATGTGTAGCTTTTAATAAGCAAGGCTAATTTAACTCTAAAACAATTTTTCTAATGAGAAAGAGATTTAACAAAATATCTGCTTCTACAGGCATATGAAAAAGTTATTTGCCAATTCAACAAAGAAGAATGTGTTTACTGAATCAATACAATAACGAGAAAGGATAACCACAACAAAGAAATGTAACTATTGCACAGCTCCTTAAGATTAATAATTTAAATAGAGCCATTTTCATTGCAACAATTTCTTACGAGCTCAATTCATTTTTATTTTTTTTGTTTCTGAGAGTTCAGCTATCAACAGATAAAAGTCCATCTTAAATAAGCAATCCTTTCACCATGCTGTATGTTTAATAAACAGAGAAAACGCTTCTCATGGCATAGATTAAATACACACACACACACACACACACACACACACACACACACACACACACAGCTCTGGATATAATCTGGCCTAATCATGTACCCTGAAGCTGATTTAATGCATTCTAGGGAAGCAGTATAAAGTCAAAGTCCAATAGTGGTTTTACACTTAAATGCAGCACAACGAAATGTTATATAGTTTTATGAAAACATAAGATAATATAACAAGGCTATATTATAAAGATCACAAAGTAAAAACATTTAAATGTTTAAAATGTGCAAAGCATTGAAAACATTAATCCAGAAAGTACTAGAAACATCTACTGATATAATTGTTTCTTCATAGTTAAATACAGGCATACCTGTTTTACTGTATTTTACTTTTATCATGCTCAAAAGATAGTGCTTTTTTTTTTGCAAATTGAAAGTTGTGGCAATTCTGCATTAAGCAGTCTATCAGCACCACATTTTCAAGAGCAGGTGCTCACATCCTGTCTCTGTGAGTATTTCGAACTTTGCATTATTATTAAATTTGATATGGTGATCTGTGATCAGTAATTTTTGATGCTATTATTATAACTGTTTTGGGTAACCACAAACTGTGCCCCTAAGACAGTGAACTTTATCGATAAGTGTTTGTTCTGATGGCACCCCTCACTGGCCATACCCCCATCTCTCTTCCTCCTCTTAGGCTTCCATATTCTGTGAGACAAATAATATTAAAATTAGGCCCAATCACAATCCTACAATGGCCTCTAAGCGTTCGGATTAAAGAAAGAGTCACTCTCTTACATTAAATCAAAAGCCAAAAATGATTAATCTTAGTGAGGAAGGTAAAAGCAAGACAGGCTAAAACAGAAGCCTATTGCAACAAACAATCAAGTGGTAAATATGAAGAGACAGTTTCTGAAAAGAAATCAAAAGTACTAGGCCAGTGGACACACAAATGATATGAAAGCAAAAAAGTATTACTGATGTTATGGAGAAATATTTGATTGGTCTGGGTAGAAGACAAAGCCAACCGCAATACTCCTTAAGCCAAAGCCTAAGCCTGACAAAGACCTAACACTCCTCAGTTCTATGAAGGCTGACAGAGGTGAGGAACCTGCAGAAGAAGAGTTTGATGCTAGCAGCGGCTTAAGGAAAGATGCCGTGTTTATAACATAAAAAATACAAGGTGAAGCAGCAAGTGCTGATGTAGAAGCTTCAGCATGTTATCCAGAAGATTTAGCTAAGATCGTTGATGAAAATGACTACACTAAAAAATAGAATTTAAAATAGGTGAAACCGTTTTCTATTGCAAGAAGATGCCATCTAGACTTTCATAGCTAGAAAGGAGATGTAAACGGCAGGCCTCAAATTTCAAAGGACCTGTTGAATCTCCCGTTAGGGGCTAATACACGTAGTAACATAAGTTCAAGCCAGTGTTCATTTATCATTTAAAAAATCCTAGAGTCTTTAAAAATTATGCTAAATCAACTCTGCCTGTGTGCTAGCCATGGGAAAACAAAGCCTGGTTGACAGGACATCTGTTCACAGCACAGTTTATTGAATATTTTAGGCCCACGGTTGAGATATAGTGCTGAGAAGAAACAAAAAAGATTCCATTCAAACTAATCATCCTCATGGATAATGTACCTAGTCACCCAAGAACTCCGATGGAGATATACAAAGATGCTTATGTTGTTTTCATGCTGGCTGACCCAAAATCCATCTGAAGCCCGTGAATCAAGGAGAAATTTCAACTTTCAAGTCTGAATACTTAGGAAACGCATTTTGTTAAGGTTACAGCCGCTATAAACTGATTGTTCTGATGGATCTGGGAAAAGTCAACTGAAAAATGTTCTGAAAAGATTGCATCATGCTGACACCATTAAGAATATTTGTGAGTCATGGGAGAAAGTGAAAATATCAACTATTAATAGAGGTTGAAAGATGTTGACTCCAACCCTCATGGTTGACTTTGAGGGGTTCAAGACTTCCGTGAAGGAAGTAACTGCAGATATGGTGGAAACAGAGAGCTAGAATTAAAAATAGAGCCTGAAAAAGTGAATGAATTGCTGCAATCTGATGATAAAACTCTAACAGATGGGAAATTGCTGTTTATGGAAGAGAAAATAAAGTGGTTTATGGTGGTAGAATTTACTCCTACTGAAAATGCTTGAAATAATAACCAAATATTTAGAATATTACATAAACTTAATTTACATAAAGCAATGGCAGGGTTTGAGAGGACTGACTCCATTTTTGAAAGATGTTCTGCTCTAGGTAAATGCTAACAGCATCACATGCTGTTAGCCTTACAGCATCACCTGCTACACAGAGATCTTTCATGAAAGGAAGTGTTAATTAACAAAGCATTTCACTGTTGCCTTATTGTAATAAATTGTCACAGCAAACTCAGCCTTCAGCAATCAACAATCTGATCAGAAAGCAGCCATCAACATCGTGACAACACACTCCACCAGAAGAAAAAAGTTACTACTTGCTTAAAGCTCCAATTATTCCCAGCACATTTTAGTAATTAAGTATTTTTCAGATAAATACATAGATATTTTTATGCATCATTCTTTTGTACGCTTAATAGACTATAACTTTTATATGTACTGGAAAACCAAAAATTTGTGTAACTGGCTTTAAAGTGATGTTTAATTTATTGAGGTGCTCTTGGAACTAAACCAGCAATATCTATAAGGTATATCTGTATCCAGCTAAAAATATTCATATTAATTCATGATACTAGGTTTGGACAGAGTATAGTGAACTAACAAACATAGTCTTGAATGTCTAAATGTAAGCTGAGTATATAATATTAATGAAGAGGCTTGGTATTCTTTTTCTTAAACCTAAAGTTACTGATTTCTTCTGTGTATTCCATGATAAGAAAATCATGGACCTAACAGACAGCATCCCTATTTAGGACATTAAACAATGATACAGACAATGCAAAATACAATATTATTCCAACAAACCTATTAGAAACTTATTTCTTCTTTCAACGTTTGCCCACATACTGAAAAGTTGTGTAATTTCCTCAGAATGTGGTCAGTTAAAAAAATTAAGTTTTGAAGGTCTTGACCTTTACAGATGCATTTATTGGCAATAACTTAAATAATTTATTTAAAATGTGGTTATAGTTTGAAATCCATAATTTTAAATGTTTGAATATATATACTTAAAGAAAAAGTAAAAACTCAATTCAATAAATTACTGACAGCTTTTTAAGAGTAAACTTAATGTTTTCTATAGTTCATTTTATATTCTTAAGAATTAGCACAAATGTGAGTTTTATAAGAATTATTAAAGAAAAGTAACTGTCTCAAGCATGTGTATATTAATAAGTAAATGTTACTAATGCTACTTGCTGCTTTCTCTTTATGTTATTATTTTGTTATGCTGTGTTTTCAAGTTGTGCTAGTCACATACATATATTTTTCATTCGGTATTTAAATTTAATTTGGGAGAGTATACAAAAAACATGTCTGTTCAAGTTAGTGGTTTAGCCAGTAGATCACCTGGCTTTGTGTCAAGTAAAAAGAAATTGCTTTTTTTTTTTTTTTAATTTTGGAGTGTGGAGCGACATCTTTAAGGAGAAGTTTGAATAGCATAAACTATATACTATGTCATATGTATAAAATGTTCCTTCACATTAAATATGTGGAGTTATGAGTTGGCTGAGGAACAAAAACATGTCAAGATGAAGTAAAGCAGAAATTACACGTTAATGTATCATTTACTCATAAACTTCAGTCTATCTATTATGGACTGAACTGCCTGTCTCCTCATTCTGCCCATTCATATATTGAAAATCTGACTTCCAGCGTGAATGAATTTAGAGACAGGATCTTTGAGGAAGTCATTAAAGTTGAATGAGGTAATAAGATTGGGACCTAATCCAATAGGACTGGTATCCTTTAACCAGAGGAAGACGCCAGAACTCTGTGTACCCACAGAAAAAAGGGCATGTGAGGAGGCCACGTACAAGTTCAGGAAAGGGTCCTATACAGAAAGCAACCCTGCAGGCCCTATGATATTGAACCTCCATCCTCCAGAACTGAAAACATACCGTCTTGTCTATAGTATTTATTATGGTATTCAAGGAGACTACACACTACACAAAATAAGTTAAATCTAATCTGAGCTTCTATCTAAGATAAACACATAAAATTTAGGGTAAAACTACCCAAGTTTTTATGAAATTGACATCCCTGTCAAGTCACAAATAGCTAGTTCTTCTAAAACAATTTCAAAGAAATGTAATTACATTAAAATAGATACAGACAAAGTGGTTTAATTATCAACTACTCAGCTATGCAAATGTTTGTGGATGTGATGGCTAAATCATTCTTTCAAACAATTTTTTTTTACGTCTAAACGGCATCAATGAGGATTAATGCTGTACGACATTACATGTTATTCTAAAACATGCATTTCATTTAGTTTATGTAAACTGAATTAGTGAATAAAATAGAGCAACCTCTCAGCAAATAAAGGTGGGTAAAAAAGATTCCCAATTTTCCTAACAGTATCATAATTTGGAAATGGTGATGATCGTTTTCATAGATTTTTATGTTTTGTAAATTGGTACACACACACAATCTGTAATTAATAAATAAGAGGCATTTTATTCAAACAGTTTGTAAAGGACAGTTGCTTGCCAATATAAAAATAATTAAACAAAATCTTATGTTTAGTAATAAAACAAAAGATACTGAACAAGTAAATTTCATTTCTTTAGGAATTTACACTTGCATTGCAAAAATCTAGCCAACAGATAGCATTTATACCTGCCAAACTGAAAAGAAAATACTATACCCCGTAAAATCAATGAAAGCATCAACATTAAGAAAAAATTTAGCTCTCAATAACTATTAAATTACCAAATTTTCTTCCTAGATTTTTCCTAATATAATTGTTTTTATTCCCAAAAGTGCATTCATAGAAATAATCATCTTTGGTATATAGCCACATTTCTGTATAAGTGAATAGACATTCATCCACTCATCATTAATGAGCCATGATCCAATGGACCTTTAAGTAAATAACTACAAAATATATACACTACGATTTCTCTCACCAAATATATGAACATATTTCAATATATTCTGAAATAGTAGATAGTTGCTAAAATAATATAATTTATTGATGTATACATGTGAACTTACCTCTAATATCATCTTTCTTCCTGTACTATATGTCTTTAAATTGGTTGTGTTTTTAGCAGGTAAGACTAATTTCTCTCTTTTCCAGTGAATTGATGCTGGTGGATTGGATTTCACATCACAACTTATATTGATAGGATTTCCTTCCCAAGAGTAATAAATTGTTTGGTTTGATATAAACTTGGGGGCATCTGTAATACAATATAATAAAATAATTATAGACATTTTCTTTAAGTTAAATAATCATTTAAGTAGTATAAGCATTAGTAATTTTTACTTGAGTATAAAAAGAAGCCATAAAATTCTAAGTTCATATATTTAATACAGGGCATCAGAACTCACAAAAATATATGTCAGTTGAATCCATTTATTACATAATTTTAATAGCATTAACATAGAAACACTCATAAATTGCCAGTTATTAAAATAGAAGACAACCAGAGTTAAATTTGCTCTTACTAATCTGACAAAAAAAATCTATTGAATATGTTAATGACTATCTACAAGTGTAGAAACTATTTCTGGAACAAACTAAAGTGAGCATATAGGATAAAATCTAATAAAATAAATGGTTCTTGCCTCACTCTTTATTTTTTTTAAGTCATACTCACTGTTTCTATAAATTATGTTGAAGGCTTTGTTATGAAATCTAAGTTGGAATGGCAACAAAACAACAAAACATTTTCATCCCTATAGTATCTACATTTCCAATTTTTATTAAACCACAGCTGTGATAAATTAATCAACTATAACTAATTTGAAAAGTAATTAGTTCTTATTCCTATGACTCACTATCAGTTTTTTCAGGTCTCCACTCTAGATCTTTATCACAAAAGTTAAGAGAAAACAATGTATAATTTTATTGAAAAAACCTAAATGTGAATACCTAAAAACATTGTTTTCACTCTTGCTCCACCCTGGGACTATGATCTAGATCAAATACCAAATACTGTAACTTCTTAGAGTCTCAATTTCCTGTCTGTATAATTATTTGTGAGGATTTTGAAAATATTTTTACATAAAAGCATAATTCTCAAGTAAGCTGTAGCTAAAATGTTGCTCCTTTTTATACTGATTATTGTTACCAACATTACTTAACAGTTAATATCTAATAAAAAATTATCAATTTACATCATTTAACTTTTAAACATTTTATACCAAAAATTACTTTAAAATAATCAACATCCAGTTTTATTTTATCTTCAAATTATATATATATATATAATATATATATATATATATTATATATATATATAATATATATATATATATATATATATATAATATATATATATATATAAATATATATATATAATATATATATATATATATATATATATATAAAATATATATATATATAATATATCTCAGATATGTAACCTAAGAACTATCTGCGGAACAAATGCGGAAGTAATCATTTAAAAATCCTTGTCCTGTTTTGCTTTAATGTATATTTTTAATGACAATCTCACATACAAATCGGAAATTCTTCTGGAATCATTTCTATATAAAGGCAATTTTATATATTCTATATTTAATATTTTTAGTAACCTTGTAAGGAAGGAATAATCCCTGTTCTATGGATAAGGGAGCTGGATTGAGAGATGTCAAGCTCATTCCCACAAGTTTTATGGATCAGATATAAATATGGGGCTATTTTAACCAATATCTAGTATATGTCCAATCAAGCCCAGAAATAAAATTTTCTAATTTTCAGTATTTGAAACACTTTGGTACTCTGAATCCTAGCATCTATTATTGAGGGGAATATAATTGAAACAATTCTTCAGGAAGACAAAGAGCCTTAAAACAGTTTTATAATCTTGATTCTGAAATCCAGTCTTTAAGTACCTATCTAGAGAAAATAATTAGAAATACTAAAGAAGTTTATATAAAGGACCTTCAATGCATTATTATTTTAATAACAAAAACTCAAAACAACTTAACATCCCATAAATGGTGGTATATCTTTGTACTTACGTGTGCTAAATATTACACAGACATATTTGCCTATGGCTTTCCATCAGCTTGGCATATACCTTCCCTTCCCTTCCACTGGCTGAGTTCAAAACTAAGTTCCACACTTTCTAAACAGCCTTTCCACACTCTTCAGTTCTGGATTAGATGTCCTAAATTGTGCACCCCCACCATTCTATGTTCTCTCTCATCATGATCATTAGGCAATGGAAGTATCTATTTGATCATTTCTCTACCAAGTGATGTCCATTTGGGGGTTAGAATGAATCTCAGTCATAATTATTTGCCTAATGGCTTATACAGTGTTTTTAAAACTGCAGATTGAATTGACTAGAAATTAAATAGTCAACTAAGTTTTAATTCAACAGTTCAAGTAAATTGAAAAAAATATATTTTCAAAAAAGAAAGAGAAAAGAAAAAAAACCTTTTTCAAAGCCAGGGACATGAAGAATCTAAGAACTCACAACTGATTAAAGGAATAGCTATAAGAGAAACCAAATTTCTTGATATTTAAAGTCATAAACTAAGTTTATATCTATATCTTTAAAATTATTTACAACTCAAGATATGTAAGATATAATTTATTTAGCATTATACTATATTATGGTGAGGTTTAAGAAAAATATAGTTACAAATAAACTCAACCCGATATGAAATGCATACATGCTAATGGAAATATTAATAGCTGACTCACAGTAACACTGTCCAAAATGTGGCATCTGTATATAGTGTATTATAATAGTGTAATTTAACTATAAACTGCGGCTAAGATTTGGTCTTTTCCATAAAAGAAAGCAATTGTGACTAATTGCTTGCCTGATCTCAGTGTGAATTCTACTCGAATTATCAATGCTGAATGCAATATTTGCTACAGGCAATACATACTATACTGAAAGCCACATTAAAAATATATTTGTGGTGTCAGGCAAGAAAATATTGATAACACGAGTCTATGATAAAAAAGAAACTAAAATTCTACACAGGATATGCTTTGTAAATATCAATACAGTAGCAAGGCAGCAATATTCACTGGTACAAGATTAGCATGTTAATGAAATTAACAACATGGTATGACGGATGTGACTCTTTCATAGCAGCATTTGAAGTAGCTGAAGAATGTAGCCCTATTTCATGTTGGTGTATCAAAAATAGCCATTTTCAAAATCAGGAAGACCCTTTACATCATGAAAGTCTTCAAATGTACAGAGGAAATAAATATTGGTAGTTAAAAAAAGCCCACAGGGCAAGAAGGAGAAAAGAATATAGCATAAGCAGAAGTGGAAAGATATTTTTGCCTATGCTATATTATTCCTTCACATATATATAAAAGAAAAAAAACTTAGTCAATAGGCATAAAAAACATTTGACCTTGAAGTTGCGTTTTTGTTATTTTGCCTAGGATTTGTGCCCAATATACTATGCATGGGGAAAGTTAATTCCTGACTACGTGAAATATAAAGTAATGGAAGCATCTCTTAAAGAGTTATGTGTCCATCAAATCTTACCAAAGTCCAAACTAAAATAGTATTCTACAAATTTTAAAGAGAAGAAATGACTTTATTGGAAGAACTAATTTTTATCTGAGCAGAGTAGTAAAAAGTTAGATAAATCTGAATAGTGACAAGATGGAAGTATGTCATTCACTAGAGGTGGAGAAAGAGTTTTCCTTTCTGAAAGCTTCCAGTGCCTCTTTGATCAAACTATAGGCAGGTTCCTCTTAGCCCACCTTTCAACTAGGCCTTGACCTGGCTTGCCATTAACAAAGAATACTGCTAAATCTATTTATGAGAGTTCCCACACCCTTGACTTATGATCACTTTTGCCTTCTCATAAAATTCTTCATTCACAACCATTGTGGGCTAAGTGTTTGGCCTGCCATTAGCAAGGATCTTGTTAGGCATAAAGTCACTACCTCTGAAGTTTACCAGGTCCCTCTTAGTAACTTTCCATCCACTGCCCTCTCTCACTCTACTCATTGGTTGTACATTCCTACCTGTCCTTGTATTTGTTACCGAACTCAATTTCTGTCCCCTACTGCAATCATCTTGAGCACTATTCCGTTAGTACTCATGACTACAGTATTCCTTATAATTTTTAACAGGTCTTGGAATAATTTCTGTTTGACAAATTAGGGTAACCCCACGAAGGTGTTTAAAAAGAAAACTTGATTCCCTTTCTTAAAGAGAGAATGAGAAAGACACATCTGACACAGATGTGTCAGTAATAAGTACTGGGTTATTTTTGGTAAATTTTGTATAATTGAAGTATTACAGTTAAAATAATAAGCTAAAGTTAATTTAAAATTGTGAATGGGCAGATAAGTTATTCGCTTGCTTCAATATGAGAAAGTCGAAGAAGAATCCCTATAGTTTAGAAAGTTAAAATGCTTTCCATTTTGAATTAACAAGAAATACTGTTAAACTGATATAGAAAATTTGTTAAGGCTATTGTTTACAGACAAGATTTGAATTTCAAAGATGAATATCAAAATTGTAATAGGCATTTTGAGTATGTTATTTTCATATTTGGATCTGATATTCACATTTTTGTTATGAAGAGTATTCAACCTCTAAATACATGAATATTCTGGAACAAAAAAACTAAATAAGCTTTGTTATTAATTATATCATAAATAATAAAAGTAGTAAACAGGGCACCAAAATATTCTTCATATTCTAAAAATAGTAAACAATACTAATATATTTGTTATACTGTACTTTCCTCAACAGTATATTCTAATTTTGATGTTTTTCAGTCCCAGGAAAGTTGCAAGCTTTTGGAAACCTTGCAAAAAAAGCTTCCAAAAAGCTTTTGGAAAGCCATATGTATGGCTTTACAACATGTAAAATGTCTTGCTACATGTGGAGTCTCTTTAAATTTTTTAAAATGCAAATAAAACTCCTTACAGCTTTAATCTCAAATAATTATGTCTACTTCACTTTCATAATGTGTGTAAACATATGTATATAAATATATGTATATGTGAGTGAATATATACATTTATGTATATGAGTAAATATGTACACACACATAGGAATATATACATATTCACTCTCATGTATACATATATACATTTAAAAGCATATATTGCATATATAGAGATATATTGGCATATATGGATATGTTGTACATACATATACATACTACACACACACACACACATGCACACACGCAAATATACACTGTATTAATCTGTTTTCACATTGCTGATTTG